TCTGAGCCATGTATTTTATTTGATCGCCTCAGCCAAATAAGTAAGTTGATATTTGTTGTAGCCATTTCTATGCGTATAAATATTTCAGATTGGATACTGACCTGTAAATGGCAATTAAATTATTTGTTGTTTCCTCTGTGTGTGTGTGTGTGTGTGTGTGTGTGTGTGTGTGCTGTGTGTGTGTGCGTGCGTGCGTGCGTGCCGTGCTGCGTTGGTGTTGTGTGTGTGTGTGTGTGTGTGGTGGTGTGTGCGTGCGTGGTGCGTGCGTGCGTGTGGTGTGTGGAAAGTAATAAATTAAATGAACAAAATTATTTTCATAGCATTACCCACAAATTTATTTTCAGAGAATTATTATATTATAGTTATTATTCATTACGTGATAAGTCCAACGAATACGAAAAGTCTATAACAAATACACTATTGAAGTATAATGCGCTATGAGTATAGTTCGTTCATGGTTAAAACTACGATATTTTTATAATTTTTATTAGTTTATCGTGATATATAGTTACCAGCATTTAATTCCATTCCTATCCGCGTAGTGTAGGGTACCTGAGATAGGTTGCGACACATATAAGCCTTCTCACAGTAAAGTTAGTCTCAGTAATATTTTAACCAACTACTGACTGCCTAACATTTTAGCACACGTGTCTCTCACCAGTCATTATATATGCTGGTGATAACAGGTAAGACATTCACGATACGTTATCATATTGGTAAATCATAAGGTATATAAAAGCCGGATGTGTTCCGCCAGTATCCGTGTGAAGCTCTGTGTGTTCGCCATGCCAGCATTGTCAGCCCACCGTTCATCCTTGTGCATCAATGAGGTATCAAGTCGAGGTCAGCCCTTGTGTGAATATATGATCGGTACAAATGATGCCGCCCACCGTTGCCTTCGCATAATACTCACAACGATCACTCGCTGTCATATTCGGTTTTTTCAAAATATTAAGCCTAGCATATGCCGGGCGGGCGCGCTGCGAAAAATTCCGCTGATTCTGCGACAAAAACAGATCTACTTTCTACGACGGAGAGAAACGGGTGGTAGCTGATATTCGATCGTAAAGTGTGAATTTAATGACATGCGTGCGCCCATGGAAAAGGCAAGTTGGCGATTTGTCAATAATCGAATTGCGTTGTTGTCCTACGGGTATGACGTAGTCACACGCGTTTCGAGCAGTTTGTCGTATTGGGTTTATCAGGAGTGATCATATATATATATATATATATATATATATAATATATATATATATATATATATATACTAGCTATGACGTCTCCAGACGGGTTTGAGTGGGGTCTGATTTGACGATGACGGTTTAATCATTTATCTCTGCACTTTTAGTTTGAGGATGTATTTACAGTAAAACGAAAACTACTGAATAGTTTATACCGAGTCATATATTGCAATATTTTAACCTAAAATTACCTAACACTTTTTCAAAGAAAGTGAAATGGGGTAATTCATTATACAATTTCAACTTAGTTTAAGATATTATTTTTGGAAATATATTCTGGTTAGAAAGCATCATTAATAGTAAAATTCTTAAAAAAAGCAAAATGCATGAGTATTTGTTGTTGAAGATCTATTTTCTTGAAAATCAGTGGACGGCGGCGGCAGGGTTACACGCGCCCGTTGTCAAATATTTGCAACACGCGCGCACACACCAAAAAACACCTCACCACACGCGCGCAACGCCTACGCACACACCGATTCAGCACCACACACGGGCGCGCGTACAACATACACGCACACGCACACGCACACGCACACGCACATGCACACGCACACACACGCCATACATACATACATACATACTATCATACATACATACATACATACAATAGCATACATACATACATACATACATACTAACATACATCAATACATAGCATACATACATACATACATAACATTACAACATACATACAAATACATACATAAATACATACATACATACATACATACATAGCATACTACATACATAGGCAGTACAATACATACATACTACATACTACATACATACATACATACATACATACATACATACATACATATATACATACATACATACATACATACATACACACACGCGCACACGCAACATCGCGCACGCACACACGCACACACGCACACAACGGCATTCACACACCCACACGGCGGCGCGCACGCACAATCAGCAGAGGACGCGCACCCACGCACCACATACCAATTTACCCACACACGGCCGCGCACACCACATACAGGCACACCACATGCACACGCACACACACGCATATCATACATAATCGCATACACGCACACACACACGCACAACGCAACACGCACCACGCACACGCACACGCACACGCACACGCACACGACGCACACAGCACAAACGCAACACACGCTTACACACTACATACACATACAACACATACAACTGTAGCCGTCTCTCGTGGGGGTTTGTCTTAAATTTCGGCTCCCAAACTGTGCGCGGCGGCTATTTATAGCACCGCAGGCCTGCAATGTCTTTGATGTGTGCGTGTGTGCGGTGCCGGTGTGGCGTGCGTGCGTTCGTGGCGTACGTGCGTGCGTGCGGTTCGGTTGACGTGCGTTTAATGTGGCTTGCTATGCTAGTGAGGTGAAGGCTGCACTTAATTAATGGCTTATTATTATACCTTTAATCTACATTTAGTATATCTATATTACGCATTAAAACCCGTGAGAAAAAATTAATAGCTTCTTAAACACAATGTTCAAAAGGTTATGGTATGATATAGTGTGGTGTGTGGTGTGCCCTAGACAATCGAAACGCGTCTAAAAATGTCAAGAGCATTGGGCAGCCGGGTAAGCGCGGGCACGGTTAACAGCCTCCCGTTTATGGCAAGCCATTTGTATCATAATTCGACGAACCTACACGGTTTCCATCGCACGAAAACCAGGTTTCGTGCTCACAAAACCTAGTTTCTTGCTCGAGAAACACGGTTCTTGCCATGGAAACTAGGTTCGTGGCACGACAACCTGGTTCTAGCCCAGCTAACGCGGTTAATAGCTGAAATCAATTAGTACTTCGTGAGCAAAGAAACTAGGTTTTTGGGATCCAAGAACCAACCGTTTCAGCAAGAGAACCACTTTCAACCGCGCCATTTAGCTATCATAATTTCGAGAACCACGGTTCCCTTCGCACGAACCAGGTTTTTCGTGCTCACAAAACCGTAGTTTCTTGCATCGAGAAACCACGGTTCTTGCCATGAAACTAGGTTTCGTGCACGAAACCTGGTTTTTTTTTTACTTTAGCCCTATACCCGCGGTTATAGCTGTAATCTTAGTTTTTTCCGTGAGCAGAAGACTAGGTTTTGGACGCAAAGAACGACTGAGTTTCAGCAAGAAACCCACTTTCAACAGCGCGGCCAATGTTGTATCATAATTGCGAGAAAAAACTAGTTTCGAGCGACGAAACCTAGTTTCGACGCGACGAACAGACCTAGTTTCGACGCTGAACTAGTGTCCTTCTAGGCCGTATCTAGATCGTGATCCCGAGCGTGACCTCAGCGTAGTTCAGGCCACTCGGGGCCACTGCTCATAGTAAATACTATAGAAATACATACTAGCTTTACGGCCTAATTCAATTAAATATTGTATAAATAAATTAAATATGCGTGTGCTATTAAATGTAATGAAAAAGTGTAAGCGTGCGTGTATCTGCGTGTACCTCGCGTGCACGTCCGCGTGTATCCCGCGTGTACTGCTGTACCCCAGCGTGTAGCCACCACCGATCGGCACGTGCCGTGTAGCCGCGTGTACGTGCGATGTACTCGCGTCAGAGACGCCGTTCAACAACGCGTGTACGTGCGTGCACGGTGGCGGTGTACCTCGCGTGCACGTGCCGTGTACCCGCGTGTACGTGCGGTGTTACGTGTGGTGTGCCCGCGTGCACGTGCGTGTACCAGCGTGGTAGGTGCGTGTCCCGCGCTGCACGTGCGTGTACCAGGCGTGTACGTGGCGTGTAACGGCTACCGGCTCGGGCACTATCTTCCCTGCCAGCACACTATGAGAGCCTAGTGCCCCCAACAGGGGCTAGAAACCAGGTTTCGTGCCACGAAACCTAGTTTCATGGCAAAAACCCCGGTTTCTTGAGCAAGAAACTAGGTTTTGTGAGCACGAAACCTGGTTTCGTGCGAGGAACCGTGGTTTCTCGAATTATGATACAAATGGCTTGCCATACACGTGCATGCACTAACGCACGTTAGAACACATGCACGCACAGATGCACTCACTAACATACAGGAGCACATGTATACACGGACCAAACCGACGTCGATGAACGCATGTGGACAGACACTACTCACTAGTCACGTCACGACATACTGTAGAAACATTCATTATCATGTAACCTGTGCTGTTCAGTTAGCGCCAATAAACTGCAGTCATATAATATATGATATATATCAAAAGATCTTGATATGTCCAAATCTTGCTATGTAAAAACTTATAGTGAGCTCGTTTATCAACCGTTGCCACAGTCAATGTAACATTTGTAATAGTAATATCCCAGTTGCATTAACAAACTTTTGGCTTGCTTGCAGTAACATATGGCCCTACTGGGCCTTGCTTTTATTTACCGAGTTGTACACACAATGATATTTGCATCTAGCTCAGTTCAACTGAAATCTGAAATTAACTGACAGTGAGGGGTAGTGACTGACGGATAAGGTAAACACATGTCACCACCATTTGACTACTGTTTTGGCCAGTTTCATCTGTACAACTGATGAAAATACGGTTGCTATGTCCCCAATAAATGGTGGTTGTAATTTGTTTGTTTATTGTTTGCCTCGTGAAATTTACAGTCACAAGTCACGAAATAATTATAGTAATATAGTATAGTATCAGGAGCTTATAAATGGAAGCTTTTAATTCCATTCATAAGCTCCTGATAGTATAGTATAGAAATATAGTGTATAGTGATTAGTTCTTTGTTATCAATATTATTCTGATTTATTTTGTAATCCAGGGTCACCGTGTCTCAGCTTTGATGTGATCAGAGACGACCTTGGTAACAACATAACTGAATACCCACAGACAGCCTTTCTCGTTGCCGGAACACAAGCAGATCGTGCGCTCGCAAACAACATTATAGGTAAATACAGCGAACGAGCCTGGCACTCGCCCGCTCGCCAATGTCGAGTGAAAATAATATCGGGCGAGTAAAAGCTAAAGCTGACTCGCCCATGTTGGCGAGTGAAAATAATTGTCTAAAACTTTAATCAAATGTTGGTTCCTTACATTATATATCCAGACAGCCGCTTACTTTCTTGGTTTACCCTGCTACATTAGAAACTTGTGACAAGCCTGGTATGCCTAATAAACACAAAGCTAATGCTTTTATTAATCATGGAATAAATTGAACACAATTAAGGGGCTGTTCAAACTTGTAAGGGCCTGTTCCATTTGTCTAAGGGCCTGCTAAAAATTGGGGTGGGCCTGTTCACATTTTGGCTAATTTCTTGCCCTGTACGCATCGTGGTTAGTGTAGCGGCGGCGCTACTACTGACTCGCCTCGGTGTTAACAAGTCAATAAAATCGGTGTAACGTGGCGTTTCATTGATGGGGCAAAGCAGCCCGAGAATAAAAGTAAATTAAATGAAGATGAAAACACGAACTTTCAAAGGAGATGTGCCTTGAGTTTTTAGCTCATCTGACATAGTCAGATGCAGCTTGTAGAATCGCATGATCGTCCGTCCGTCCGTCCGGTCGTCCGTCCGGTCGTCCGTCCGTCCGGTCGTCCCGTCCGTCAACAGTTGGGCACAAATCTTAACCGCTCGACGTACGGTCACGATATTCGGGTCGTTGGGGGGGATCGTCAAAACGAGTTGGGATGTCGAAGCTGGGGGTCAAAGGTCAAAGGTCAAGAGGTGTAAAAGAAGGGGGAACATTCACTCCTTAACTTAAGGCAGTGCTTCTCAACCTGCGGCACGCGTGCCGCATGCGCACCAGTGAGCGTCTGTAGTGCGGCCCACAGCTAGCTGGGCCGCCACTAAGATGACGTAAACACATTCTCACATTAGGGTTGCAGTAGCTCGGATACTATAGCCCGCGGCATGCTGCTGCCGCAGGGCGGATAGCAGCATGATCCCATAGGAGATAATCTAAAGTCCGCAGAATGGTCCGGCTGATGTGCACAAAGAGATTGTTCCAAACGTAAAAGACGGGCTTAGTAACACTTAGTATACTCAACAATGATAGGCTGACTCGGAGTGCTTTTGTGGACAATTCCACAAACTTCTACACCAGGTAATTCTACTGTTATTCCTCAAAGTCAGCCACTCATTGAATTAATTGTCAATCAGCTGTGGCGGTGTGCGCACGCGCTCAAGTGTCACCGGACTATGTTGGCAAGACAGCTTATTGCTGGGTGCGGCACGACCAGCATGTCATTCCAAGAAATGTTCCTATGTGGCGCACAAGAGACAAATAAAGGGTTGGAGGTGAGACACTATGCTTAAAGTGATAGCTAAGGCGAAGGCAATAGAGCAGATATGTGGGCACGAAATCTCTGATCACCGATTCGTTCTCGAGCCATAGCCGCCTCGGGATCTGGATAGTCGGCGTGTAGTAGCATCATGGTGAGAGGAAAAGCCATCATTGCTGCCGAACAGTTGGAGGTCTACAGGGTGCAACACGGGGTCAATGGAGACCTACAAGGGCCAGGAAGGTGCTAATAGATGGAGCATGTTTCGGCTGAGGACTTTATATTGGTGCGCGGAACCTGGTGAGCGAACTGTGCCAAGAACTCTGTGTGTTGTTTTTTTTACAGCTGACGCTAGGCATTTTTATGGCTTTATTGAAAGGACCATGAAATGGGCCCTTCTGCTGACATGCGAAGAGTAAGTGCTCGGATAACCTTTTGACCCTCAAGAGGAGGGTTAACATGGATTTGTTGGACTGTTTAACCGGCGAGTCGAACTAGCTTTTGCTATTAGAGCCCCCTCCCCCCACCCTCCCCTTCCCCCTCCCCACCCCCGCCCCTTCCCCTACTCTCCCCACCCGTCCCACCCCTTCCCCCCCACCCTCCATCTGCGATTAGTGGGCGCTGTCCTAACAATGATGTGTACGCAACTGCGTGTCTGCATATCTGCGCCTAACAAATGTGGTACTACGCACGACTGAAATTTTACGTTTATAATCGTAGCAACAGACCTCAGATGAGCCCAGACGCTCTGCGGCTCTTGTTGAGAAACGTGATCAATGAATTACATGTGTAGTTAAATCAATGGTGTTTTTGTGTTTTTCCACTATTGTTTGACAAGCATTTTTGTTTTAAAATTTGGGCGAGTACAGATTCCGTTTGGGCAAGTTAACTTATTGACTCACTCGCCCAGTTTGGCGAGTAGTTTTTATTTTAAAGCTCTAACACTGTTTAAAATATTGTTTGATGATAACATTAACATTCTGATGAATGTGGTTATGTACAAACTGAGAATGCTCTCTAGTGCATGGTATCCTACCTTCTCCATGTTAAAATACAAGTGTTTTTCTTTTTCTATTTCATTTGATGAATATTAATTGGATACACCTGTGCATATTACCTATGAGGTCACATTGCTGTCATATTTACTGATGCTATGCAAGTCCTTTTCGTTACTTAGTGATGAAAATGTACAACTTGCACAAAACTGTCAAGGCGAAAGATGAGGATGAGCCGCTAGAGGATGATGAGTCGGAGGCTGAGGAGTCGGATACGGAAGATGAGGAGAAACAACCGCAGTTGGACTGTATCTTATTTAAGCACGCTGGGGGAGTCAACAGAATAAGGGTAATCTTATGAAGCTACTGTCGATCAATCAAGTAGCAAGTTTTTATTTCTGATTGACAACTCCAATTGTCTGCATTTTGGGCTTAACAAGATCCTGCTGTTTAAAGTAAGAATGCCATGTGATTGAACTGTGTGGAGTGCATTGCTCTGCAATCTAAATTATTGTAGACTGGCTTCATTGATACTGACATCGTATTCATCATGTAATATAGGATTACTTTCTAAAGCTTTAGTGTGTGTCTACGTGTCATACGTGCATGTATGATAGTGGAGTTGACATTTTTGGAAGGATAGATTCTAAAAATGGCTGTAGTCATACTAGAATATAGAATACTAGTTTTTACACTGTTTTACAGACAACAGCGATCGGGAAGCAACAGGTAGCAGCGTCCTGGGGAGGAAATGGAATTGTAAATGTGTGGAACATCACAGATGCATGGCACCAGCTTAGTGTAAGTAAAGGTGACAAGGAGGCAAAGACACAACAACCCATGTTCTCCTTTAAAGGACATCAAATAGAAGGGTTCGCTATGGATTGGTCACCAACAACACCAGGTATGCTATACTTCCATGTTACTATGCATGTATTTTGGCATGCCTCAATAGTTTGTTACCTGGCTATGTAAATATTGTTATTGCTGATTTGTCCCAACGTAATATAATTTTCCACGTTCATCTTAATGTAACATTCAGCAGTCCCCCCATGAGAAATATTTCAAGGGCAAGATCATTCAAATATCAGTCTATGTTATGAAAAAAATTAGGTATGATGCTTACCGGAGATTGCAAAAAGAACATCTTTTTGTGGAAACCTCAGCAAGATGGCACTTGGCACATTGACCAGCGACCATACACGGCACATACCGACTCAGTCGAAGACATTCAGTGGTCACCAAATGAGCCCAGTGTAAGCACATCTTGACCACTATATTTAAAAAAAAAACCAAAGCATATCTCGAGAAAGTTTAAGATAGTAAGCTAATTATGTTGATGTGCATATAAGATGTATGAATGGTTTAATCCATAAATATTCTACATTGTGGTGCTGCATTGCAGACCAGTATATCATGTAGGAGCACTTGCTTAGTTCCATTCTCTACATCTGCATGTGCAAGATGGTATGCGCTCCAATAATATTATTGCATGTGATACAGGTATTTGCGACATGTTCTGTGGATAAGTCGATACGCGTCTGGGATGCGCGGGCAGCACCAAACAAAGCCTGCATGCTGAGTGTCAGTGATGCACACAGTAGCGACGTGAACGTGATAAGTTGGAATCGCAACGAGCCATTCATTGTTTCTGGTGGAGACGACGGCATTCTCAACATATGGGACCTGCGACAGTTCCAAGTGAGAACTTTGCTTGTCTTAGTTTGTCTATCTCTGTCTCACTCACTCTTCCTCCCTCTCACCCTTAAAGCATAAAAGTCAATATTGGATAAAAATGAAACGCAATTACTATACTCAGGGGCATATGTATAGAGTTCGATGTGTATATTGATTACATATTTGATACACATATTCAGCTTACAATTATGAGCAGTTATGACAAATTTCAGCATTATTCTTTCATCACGACCATGTAATCTCTTCTGCTCGACAAGCAATTCTATAATTATGTTACAGAACAGCAAAGCTGTGGCAACTTTCAAGCATCACACGGCACCCATCACGTCGGTTGAATGGCACCCAACAGATGGCACTGTGTTTGCTGCATCCGGCTCAGATGACCAGCTGACTCTTTGGGACCTATCTGTTGAGAAAGACACGGAGGCTGGCCCCTCAGATAAAATTGAGGTGCCACCCCAGCTGCTGTTCATCCATCAGGTATGTCATTCTATCTGCACTCGCTTCACATCTGCTTATACATACAATATCGACGTGAAAAAAATCAGTTGTTCTTTGAGGTATGGATGTTTTGTTACACTTGCTGTTTGTTTTGATAATACCTCAACTGATCTAACTAAATCAGTCTTTTTGCTTTTTCGATGTGTTTGCTTGGAAATGTTGTTCTATTATTTATGGTATGAAGTCTAAAATTCAGGTTAATTCTGTTGCAGGGACAAAGTGACATCAAGGAGTTGCATTGGCACCCACAGCTAACTGGTGTGGTACTTAGCACAGCAAACAGTGGTTTCAACATATTTAAAACTATTAGTGTGTGACAGGACGATTATTGTAAACGAAAGTGAACATTGATGCTGTGTAAAGCACTGCCTGTATAGTACGACATGGGATGGATACAGAGACCAGCAGGATAGGATCAGAGCAGAATAACTCACAGCAAAAGGACCCTTAAATGCACACTGCTGCACGTAAGAGCACTTCATTGTGTCTGCTGTGCTTGATCAGTCCTCCATGAGAACTGGTTTCACTCTGGAAGCAGAGTGCAGTGTGTATGCACTTTTGTTATGTTTTGTAACGTGTTATTGTAACATATATGTACAATATATAAACGTATACCGATTTTAGAAATCAAACGTATAATGTTTAGTAATCAATATTGTATTCACTGCAGCGTTATTTACATGGGGTTTATTTCTATAACTCGCACTTCTCACTAAAGCACAATGGACTGCTCTGCATAGATGGAATCACCAACAAAGCACAGCCTCTAAAATATTAACCTTCATCATCACTGTCACACACCTATACACACTGCACCGTTCTGGGATGAATAACGATTCTCTCATTAGGCCAAAACAAAATATAGGTGTGGTTACGGTTTCCCGACCGACCCTATTTATTCGCAGCGACCCTAAACATTTTATTGTCAATTTTCTTTAAAGTCAAAAAAATAAAAATAAAAAATAAAAATATGAATTGGACAGTTCCTGCTTCAAAAGACACAACGCACATCCTTCGGACATTGTTCGTACATAAAATATTTCCAGAAAATAAAATGTTTTCCCTACCTACCTACCCTATTTTTTTTCAGCATGTAACGGTAACCACACATATTTTGTTTTGGCATTACAGTTTACATCGGTTCATTGGCCGTACTATAACTTTGCCAGAATTGCTATACACAATATGCTATGCTATGCTAGAGCTCTACACTATCTAGAAAACTTTTATGACGTAGTAGTATGTGGTGTGCCATATCTACTATACCTCTGTCTCCTCCAGTACTTGAGCCCCTGGGCCCGAAGAAATTCAGGTAGAGAGATGTATAAAAATGATAAATACCAGCGTTACCGCATTTCAGTTCTAATACTGAACACTACTAATAATACCCCTACGTTACACAAAATAACACAGCAATGATGCATGCCAATGCGATCTATATACCCCCGTGTTGTTTTTGAGCCCTTCAGCCCGAAGACGATGAGGTATATATACAATAAATATAAGCTTTTGTAGCCAGTTGCCTGTGTAATGGCCAGCATTCCACGATATATATCCATTTCTGTAATACACCTTAGCAATGTTCACACCTCGAAACGATTCCTTTCAAAACATTGCAAAGATGACAAGTTTCCTGAAGATCGCTCGAACTTGTTGGCAATACAACATTAGTGAATGAACTAAGCATTGTATCAGAAGTAGATAATAGGGGATCCCTACTATCTACTTCTGATTGTATGTAGTTATGTCTATGTTGCGAACATAAGAAAATGGTCATTCCATGGAATATCATAAATATATATATATATATATATATGTATATATATACATATAGGGCACCTATCTCTAACATGTGCTAATAAGTAGCTGGATGTTTACAACTACCACTTGATATTCAGTGCATTAACCATTTTCTCCACCTGGTGGTAATTCGTATGAAGCGCGTTGTGACACTTCTCACTGTCTGCACCTCCTAACCAGTCCCCATACAGTGCTGCCACTGCCGCATTCTCCGTTGGTGTTCTCGAGTTCACAGACCCATACACGTCCGACACTTGTGAAAGGAGCTCCTTAGCAGTGACTCCCTCTGGTGGCCGAATCTGGCCGCCTCCATTGAGACACCCTGAGAAAAAAATTATTGGCCGACTTGAGACTAGATGAACAAAGGAGGTTGGAGGAGGTGCAGGTCATCCTCTTTCTGAACGGTGAATTTGTATCGTTTACAGAAATCTGATGCATAAGATAATATGTAATATAATATGCACTATTTATAGAAAGAGGAAGCTAATCGTACCGACAGGGCAAGCCATGACTTCGATAAAGTCGTACACGCACTTTCCCCTCTTCAACTTCTGTACGACATTTTGAATGTTACGGAAGCCATACGCCAATGCACAGCGAAGCAGAATTTTGCCGTCTTGTTCCACCGTCACTTCACGGAAGTCTTCATTCCTGTGTGAATATAGTAGCGTTGCTGGCTGGTGAATCCACAGACATCAGTGATTTCCTTTTGGGTTGTGGGTTTGGGCAAATTGGATGAAATATTTCAGAAATTCGAGCACTTTGTTTTCGATTGGTAACCAACACGACGCAAATTGAGAGACCTCATGATCAGGAGAAAACGAAATTATCTATAGTCACGCTGTTAAAAAGCAAGAGATACCTGTAATGATTGTTCGTGTTTATCTCGTGTTCGTGTTAGACAATTAGGTGAGTAATTCATGTAGCTGCTATATTTACCGGAGCGTTTTATAGTTGAGCTCAGAAAATTCAAGCTGAAAGAGCTCCTTGGCTGCGTATCTGATGACATGCTCTAGGTAGCCTCCCGAGCCGCCGCCATCATGTGATACCAGGTCTGCACCGTCCAGACAGTTGAACCTACAATAACAAGAATGCTCTTACGACGCGGCTACAAGGTGGCTATAACAAGATATGAAATAATTTTGCGCTAAAACATTGGAATTTGGCCAAACACATTTCTATGAAAAACTAGACTGGCAAACCCTAGAGAATGACAAGCAATAAGGACTTACCAATTGTCAAGCTCAACCGACTCTACATCATTAAGTTTGATTTGCTCTTGTTGTGACATTGCATCTACCTCACCTGTTTATAAACATTTAAACACACTAGTTATAGTATAAAATTATGTACATTGAATGCGCATATACTTAATTATACATTGATGCATGGTATTGCAGTGAGAGGAAGTAATTCTAGTAATCAAATGTGATCTTTTTTTATTTATATGTCAAAGATTAAATACTATAGCAGTACAGGAGGCCCACATTTACTCGGCTGAAACCTTTTATCACAATTTACTAAACACGACAACCCCGGTTTACTTACCCGTTGACAGCACACAGTTGACGTCGCGAGTTCTATATACATCACTGTAGAAGTCTTCACGAGAAGCTTCCAGTTTCTTATCATAGCACGGCATCACTGTCACATGAAATATTCTCTCAGGCGTTGTCCCCAACATCCTTTAAAGGGGAAACAGCAGAAATAATAAGTGCGTTAATCGCCATATAATGCATACACGTGTACGTGTACATGTACATTTATAGCATTAAGATAAAACGTTCCACTTCTTCCGAAACAGATCATGTGCATTAACGATTGTGGTATATGTAATCGTAGATAAAGTGGTCCACGTACATGAAATATAATACTACAAACGTTAGTAGCTGCAAATAACCATTAAAATTGAGGTAGTAATTACAAGGTAAGACTGCTGACACTCACGAACTGAAGTGATCTTTCACTAGAGAGCCCATGATTTGTTGTGGTGACTTTGTTGTACTGATATAGGGTAGGATGTATGAGCCATGAGTCTTCTCTGCATAACATACCCAGCCTATGGAAAAAATACGAGTTGGCGTTAATGAAATTATATCAGGTTTATTGCAGTAGGTCTCCAAACAGACAGTTAAAACAACAGAGCATTTCATATATCATTAATATTTTGGATCATTAGGCAGAACGTGTCATTCCACTCTATCTCTTTGGGGTAGTAATAGAGATTTGTTGGTTTACTCATGCTACATTAGCAATACAACTGTAAAGTGTGGTTTGCAAATGGTAGAAATAGTAGTTGTGTTAAGAAATGTCGCGACGGGGGTTGCATAATGCGTTAGGCGGCAGCAGCGCGTCTGATGTAGTATGGATGATGGAGATGCGAAACGGTTGAGAGGGAAGTGTTGTGCATGTGGGCAGCGGGTGTGGTTGTCCGGGCGCGCACGACTTTCTTTGTTAGCTGGAAATGTATAAAGGAAAGGTTCTTGGTTGTGAGGAGGACGGACGTGAGTGTGCGAGGCACGCGGCTGCGTGCCTCTGTGCGCGCGCATGTGGGTTGAGAAACAATAATACTATTTGCTGAACACAACTGCTTGGACTTTGGAGTTTTCCTTATTCATCGCTTCAAATCTACTTTGAACCGGGTAACGTCATCTTCCTCAGTACACAACTAAACATGGCAATCGTGAGTCATATGATGAGTTAACCTGGACAGGCAGATGCCAACATAGGAAGTGACTTGTTTTCCTTGTTCCTGTTCCTGTAGCGTTGCACGAATTCTCGTTGACTTTCTATTAAGCTGAAGTCTCGTGCAAATGTTGTGTCAAACACATGGTCACAGCCTAGAACCACCAAACATTCAAAATCAATTGACACTAATTACTTGATAACTATATACAAGATTACTTGTTCACATTTTCATGAGTTTAGTAGTGCTGAGAGGGTCTATGTCCACCAGGGTACTGCCGGAACGTACCCTGCATGGCTGGGCATGGTCCGGTATACCGGAACGTACCCTGGTACTATCTAATATGCCGGACCGTACCTCGCCTACTCCACTAACGAGTCTAGGGAGTCGCCTACGCTTACTCCCTAACCCTAACCATATCAGATAGATACCAGGGTACGTTCCGGCACTACCCTGGGGGACATAGACCCTATGAGCTTTAGTAGCTGTCCAAGAAATGATCCAAGTAACATCATATAGTTAAAACCCTCTGCTCGCATTAAAGTTAACGATCAGAAAAGATGGCATTTGCAAATGGTAATTTATTATATTTCACCGCAACAACATCCTATCAGGAGTGAATAATAATAGATTAATAATAATTCTATTATCATTCATTCCTGATCCTATTATATCTATTACAACAGTCTGTATATTTACTGTAGTGCCTAAAATTACATAAAATATTGGGCTAAATCTGAGCCTACCTAGTTTTTTGAAGAATCCGGTAAGCTTTCTTGCTGCCTCCACGACTGACAACCCATACTTGGTTGCTAACGAAGCCCGGGATTGAGGAGATATTGAGATGACAACTGTATACACCTCATTGTGAATCCCAAACTAAAGACCATATGCAACCATAACAAATACACATTAGCAACCGTAACACACAAAGCTTTTACTTTACTTATGTGAATGTAAGCTTAATTCCAAATCGGAATTGATGACCGAGTCTAAATATCTGTCCATCCACATCCTAACTTACCAGTACAAATATTACCTGCCCTCACCTTTCTGTTCTCTTGGTTCTTAGAGAGAACCCTGTACAATTCCTCCTGACTCTGCTGTGTGATGAGGACACTCTCTGCTGATGTGATGCAACCACTGCATGCCAGACAGTCGTTCAACGTGATCTTTGCCTTCTCTAGCTTCACTTCCACGCCTGCCTGAATTGAGAGTGTTAAGTGCCTAATCTGTATAAGTAAACTACAGCTGAACTAAAAGTTGTGCCTACTGCCTCTCACAGTGTTCCTCGACACAGTGCTTTTTCTATGCACACAGATATCCTACAGTTGTACCAGGAAGTACTAATATCGATAGATCTACAACATATTTGATTGAAGGATTAAAACTCTTTTAATGTAAAAGGATATACCAGTACAATTCTGTACATTACTGGTATTACAATAGCTGAGCCTCATATACTGCTATCAAACTTAAACAGTATATACGTACAGCTTCACCTACACTTTCAAAAAAGTTTAGAAAGCAGTGGGTAACAATACCTCTTCATCAACCTGCATATAGGTACCATCCGTCTGCAACTTGATGGCACCAGTCTTTCCTGGACGCCGCTCTATCTTTACTGGTTTGATGCATTCCTAAGTGAGACCAGGAATAACTCAAGTAAAGAATGAGAAAAGATTTTACACTAGATGATAGTTGGGGAAAAAATTCGCATGATGGATTCAAATACAGGATGTATTGATATACTTATAGGTATATAGGTATATATACAGGATATACTTGTCAGTAAATACAGGAACATTTTCACAACGGCGATGTTAAATTTGACAACGGCGTTGCGCCACTGTGCCTCCTATGTATAAGAAACCCTGCATTTAACGATTTGTGATGTGTTTTACATCACACTTACAGATACAGCTATCAGTATCAAGAACCACATACAATTTGGTTCTTACGTGCCGAGTTCATGGATATGGGTAGAGCCTAGAGGTGAACAAGATTCATTGGGCTAACTTTCTGGAACAAGTTTACTGGATTTCAAGGTAATGTAAATATTATTTTTATTACAACATAAATCCAAGTATATTGACGACAGTTAATTAAAACGCTTAAAATTAAACTCTTGTCATGTAATCATTATGTTGGCATTTTCCTAGTCAGTCTGCAGCTGATAAAATATTAATTATAGATTATGCCCACACTGCCGCAGGCACTTGGAACGTATCAATAATAAAATTATACTTCTACTTCTACTTTTATACTGGACAGTCCATGGGGAATAACGTCCAGGGAGTGCACAACTTCAGGTGCATATGAAAGATTAGACTAGGGAATTTTTACACGTAGACAGTAATGTGTTCCAGAGATCGAGGCTTCTCTGGGCGAGGCACTCATTGCTGAGTGTGACTAGCATACGGCAATGGGCTGTTGAGAGCTGTTGTAGTTGCCCAGCCAAAGATGTGTTTCGCTTCCTCGAGGTGGCTTGACAACGATTCTGCCCGAGTCAATGTTTTGCCACAGAGACCCGGTGAACTGCTGTGCTGTTGGACTAGTGAGCAGCGACTCTGGTAGCAGGTTCCAGCTTCTGATGGTTCTAGGAAAGAAGCTGTACCTGTACCCATCTGTCCGGGTTATGATGTTGTAGTATGTGAGCCGGTGTGTGCCGCGGCATATATAGTAAATAAACACGAAACGTATTTACCCGGTACTACTAAACACACCCGGTTTATAAACTCTAAATATTTCGCTACTCTCTTTCTCCTATTATTAATAATAAATTCATCTAAATGTCGTTCAAATGCTCCCCTGCAACACCGAATTTCACCACGTGCATGCCGCTCTCACATGGCTATGCACAAACAACAGACGTTGTTTTGGTTTCTGTTGTTTGTACACAGCAGCGTGCGTATGCTGAGCCTGATATTGCGTGTTGCGAAAGAGCATCTGAACGGTATTTACGTGGACTTATTAGTCGATAGAGAATACACAAGCATTGAGGCTTGTTCAAATAAATTGCGTGTTTATTTACGATTCATTTTGTAATTGAAACTTTCCAAGTGCCTGTGATTATGTCCCAGTACGTCATGAATCATTCAGTCATTGCTGTCAAGGCCGGTTCAGGTTGGCGGTTTGTCGTGCCCATATACTAGAGAGTATAGTCACTAAGTCAGTCCATGCCTAGCTCTAGTAACTATAGCTCATAGGGTCTATTTCCCCCAGGGTACTGCCGGAACATACCCTGGGTACGGTCCGGTATACCAGAACGTACCCTGGTCACTATTTGATATGGTTAGGGTTAGGATTAGGATTAGGGTTAGGTTTAGGGTTCGGGTTCGGGTTCGGGTTAGGGAGTAGGCGTAGGCGACTCCCTAGACTCGTTAGTGGAGTAGGCTAGGTTAGTAGGTACGGTCCGGCATATAATATAGTACCAGGGTACGTTCCGGCATATATAGGGTTAGGGGTTAGGGTTAGTCTGTAGTCAGAAATAGCTAAACGAGCCAGGTCAAACAGAGGTCAGGGGAACATAGACCCTACGGCTACGGCTACGAGCCTAAGTATTTTTAAGTAAGGACATAAGCAGTTATTTCACATTAAAGCTAGGGCGATTCAACAGCAGGAAAAACAATAAACATCGCCCAAGAATCATTGTGCACCGATATTAATTGTATATTATTGTTCACTCACTTGTGAAGGTGTGATAAAATCATCTAAATCAGTTAACTGTAATGCGCCACTGAAATGAGATGCCATCACGTGTACTCCAGCGCCACCTAGTGAGACAAAAACCGCAAAAGCAGACGAGTAAAATCACGTATGCGGCTTGCGGTTTATTCTGCATCATATTTTCCTTCCTCTTAGAGGCGTAGAACACAGCGCCACAGCCACATATGTAATTCAAAGACTAAATAGTCAACTCGTCGTCTCTCTGCACTTACTAACAAATAATTGTGATATATGAGTATTGTAAATACTGATAGTGATAGCGTCAATTTTTTAAACCGGAAAACTGATATGTAAGGATATATGCAATCACTAGGGATGTGTACGTTCTTGGAACAGGTGAAAAAACACTAAACAGTAGTTGAGAATAAACGGTTCATTTACAAACATGTATCAAGCTACGTACAGACAAGACCTTATAGCGTGTATACAATGGCATTCATATTTTTAAATAACGTATGCTTGCATGATGAATACTGGTTTCAGAAAAAGAATATGAATACCCTCTCCAGTTGAAACGAATAGAATGTGTCATAGTACAGGCTGTAAATTAGCGTCATGTCCCTGTTGAAATGATTAGAATGTGTCACAAATACACGCTGTAAATTAGTGTTTTGTCGACTTCTTGCCGCATTAAACTTTACAGAGTCAGAACACATTAGTCCATCAGCCTCTCTTTCATCTAGTCATGGTTCGTGGCCTTCCGTGCTTTCACAAACTCCAGATACAAAGGATCGGCCTCTGTCGCGACGAATGTCAGTGTCTTCCCCTGGTAGTAATTCGACATCAGCACAATATTGTCAATGACATCAGTGAGCAGGTATGCTTTGCCGACACTTGATCCAGGTGCGTTGAACTTGAGGTGTGTGAAGTGTACGTGCAGGTGGTAATACGACGGTTGGTAGTGAAGGTAAATCTTCACCTGATCTTCATTAACACCATACGCCTCCTTGATGGCATTCTGCGGGGGAAATTGAAGCGATGTTTGACAAATTCTGAATGTTGGAACTAATGCTAAGTCAACATGATGAAGAAAAAGGCACTAAGAAAAAGAAAGTGCAACTTTATTGCCAAATGTTTTCATTGTAGGTTATGCACTGGATATTATAACATAATATTATTGGAAATGTTATTTGCTATTAATAATAAATATTACTATTTGTAACCACATATTCGACTACTAAACAGATTTTTTTTAAATATTGAAAAGAATGTATTCACTGCATGAAATATTGGTGAAATGGTACCAAAATGTCTGTGGAATGAATAGAAGATTTACTAATCTGAGGTGTCACATCACCTGGTCACCGTGTATAATGTTTACATGTTATCCACACGACAATTAGGCGTATAGCATAGTTCTTACCAAGCCCTTTGACAGGATATTCCTCAGCATGGGTAGATGCTCCTCTGTGAGATCACGGAGTGACAGAACGTCCCGTCGATGGCAGATAGCAAGCATATACATGTTCTCCATGTGCTTCTTATCCCACTTCATGTCAGGAAGAAGCACAAAGCCAATTTTCGGGTCTGGGTCTTCAAAGAGAACCCGTTCTGTCTCGGCTTTCTTCTCCAGTATGTTATACACCCACTGATGCCAGAGAAGGAGACAGAGAGGGAAAGAGAGATAGAGCAAAAACATACAGTTCATACACACGCACGCATGCACACACGCACATACATACAAGTACGGTGTGTTGTCAGCACCAGCAACACGCAAAGATTAGATGTATGCACTACCAATTTGGATCATAATTATACATCCAGAATCAAACAGCCATGTTTTTTACCTAGTAGAATTGCAGATCATAAAGCATTCTGCAGATGGTAGTGGTAGTGATAACGTCTTATCCATGAGGACATTTTACTAGATGCTTTTAGTTTATAGTTATTATACATAGTGTTAATTGTCCAAATTAAATATATCATAATTAATGATCTCATAACCAAAAAAAACCATTTGACAAATCTATGAGAACTGAACCTGAATATGAAAATCTTGCTTCTTAAGGTAAGGTAGAGTAACAATCTTGTAATCATCGCCAGTCTCATTAATAGCATGGATTGGCTGGTCTGTGTACTTTATAATATGCTTCTCTGTTGCTGGAAATATTATTGTGGCTTTTATATCTGAAAAGCAGAAAACAACAAATAGGGGTGAAGTGGTGCAAGAACAAGAATATATGACGACGACGGCGACGACGATGACGATGATGATGATGATGATGATGATGATGAATTAGTGATGTATGTACAGAACCTAAATCAACCTACACTTTGACCAGACAGCAGATGCAATATAACAATAGCGTGTAAAGGAGGAGAGCGTACAACGGTAAAATGCTGAAACCATCCACATACCAGATTACCAGATTACAGAGCCAAATGCAAAGTGATACATAGAATGTATGGTATGTATGTATTCCATGGCATCACTATGTATGTATACATAGTGATACCATAGAATGTATGTGAATGGATCGTGAATGTGTAATCCGCAGTTACGCAGGCTACATTATAGTATCAGGAGTGGATAATAGAGATCTCTATTATCCACTCCTAATAGTATTTATAGTATGGCATTAGAGGCTAGCCACGTACTAGCCCGACCCGGCTTTACAACTGATACATATTGTAGAAGCCTGATCCCTTTAATACGAAAAAACTTTCTTGAAAACAAACTCGGAATTTCATAAATGAAATAACCGTATTACCACATTTCACCTGACTTTTAACACGTTGCAAGTATATTCTCACCAACTATACTTCAGTTCTCAACTGGTATTTACTTTGGCATTTAAGTTATAATCGGACAATTTAGGAAGGATTCATTGGCAAACTTCATACTTCCATTACTGACATGTGCGAGAACTATGTGCGACTGCCAAGGATGCGCGAAAATCACGCAGATTCAAAGAGAAAGCCTTTTTCGAAATTTTCCATTAATTACCAAATCTCAAAAATGCTTGCTGGCAATATACATGGTTAGCAATAGAGCTTTCATAGCTAACAACGACGAAATTACAGAGAAGGGCTCAGAGCAATCATAAGTTAGATATTGAAACGTTTTGTTTGTTATTACAAGGTTTGGTCATTCCGTTCGCTTGTGACCTTATCGCCACGTAGTGAGAAGCGAGAAGGTATGGCTAGCCATGTACTAGTACTAGCCCGACCCACCATGAGTAACGTTAATAGACGGTCTTCAACTGTTTCATGGAGCTAGCCCAGCAGTAGCTCTAGTACTGTAGCGCGTACAGTTGCCGCAGGGCTATAGAGTATAGAACATTCTATTACGAATGCTAGTGACCAACCCGCTGACTGGCGCTGCTGCAGCGGCAACAAAAATTGCCGCTTGAAGTTCATAAATAATTTTCGTTCACAAGAAATACCGCAAGCAGACCATTTCAACGATAGTTAAATTTTAGTAGCTGATATAACTTAAGACATATTCACTTATTATAAGAGGCATTAATTGCCCACCACAGACGTTTTATAGCCGCGAGTAACCGTAATTAAGTTGGTCCCTAGCATTCGCAATAGAATGTTCTATAGCCCTGCGGCAACTGTACGCGGGCTATAGTACTAGAGCTAGCCCAGCAGTGAATCGTGTACCGGGGAAAAATACACATTTTTCCGGAAATAGCCGAACGGCAGTAGGGCGCAACTTCGGGATCGCTCAGGTCCATAATACACATATGTGTACACATGTATACGCATTGTCAACCCTAACCCTAAACAGAAAAATAAAAAAAATAAAAAATAAACAGATGGGATTCGAATCAGCGACCTTTCAGACATAACACACGTGCTCTACGAGCTCGACTATTGAGGATTATTGAAAATAGCACATGACATATGCTAAATAAGCAAATACCTTGGTATGTAAAATGTGTATTAATTTTCTCCCTGGTGCAAAAATCGCCCAGCAGTAACCTGTCATAAATTAACACTGTGTCTGTGATTACCATTTAGCTCTGGTTTTGGATAACCAGAATATGTTCCGTATATATCGTTGATATGATGCGTTGTCAATGTTGTGTCGGATGATAGGACCTGTTGTATAGTCTCAGCACTAAACGGCGTTTTTTCTACAATAACAACGGCATCTTCGTCTCTACCCTCAAACCGTCCATGAATAAACGCTGCTTTGCTCTCCGGCTTGTCTTGTAAAATGCGTACTACATTAAGATTCTTAAAAGACGTAAATTCGTTATTTTCAACATGGTCGCCTTTGCATAATTTCTTTGAAAGTGGCTCAAGTGACATGCTTTCTGATTTACAATATCGTAAAACTAGTGCGTGAACCAAACACGAGTGACGAGACACAAACTCGCCGGTCTCCTGTACTTGTTCAAGTCTCAAGTTGTTGCTAACGGGGAGGAAGCGGAAATTGAAGTTGGGGTTCACCCTGTTGGCTGGATTGGGAACTATGCCGCATATGAGAAAATACAGATATAATATAATAGATAGTATATACGATATATATATTACCATATATACACATAGAAAATACTATATAAATTATCTTATTATATTAATAGATGTACGTATGTTGAAATCTAAAATAATAATTAAACGCTTACGCCCACCAGATGGCGATCGCAGCCACATTTACACGAAAAACTACTTGATATGATTTACACAGAACTCGCGTGTTAGATCATGGTTAGATGCATGTTTTGATGTGTAAATATTAACTTATAGCTCTACTATCAAAAGATAAAAATGAGTTGGACTTTATTTCTTTGGCATGTATTGTTTCATATTTATATTCTCATTTGGCAATCGGCATTGACAATACAGAGTGATGTATGTTTACAAGCAGCAGATGCTGACGTTTATTTAGACAGATACCTAAATAAGGCAGGATTTCATAGGTACGTATACTGACTGTAGAGTGTAGTGATGGGTTCTTTGCGGCATCTGTAGTCTGTCCATATATTAACAACCCGCTTCGTCCCATTGGCATTGGCTATTGTCGCTGATTGGCAGTGACAGTAGGACGCCTACACTGATCCTTACGGTTCAAGGATAGAGAACATGGGTCCCAATAAAACCAATGCCATTTACATCAATATAAATATAATATTATATCAATATAATAGGTTAGGGTTATGGTTAGGGTTAGGGTTAGGGTTAGGGTTAGGG